TTGCATGAAGAATCCTCCTTAAAACTGCATTTTGGTTGGCTCTGAAGCTATTATCTGAATCATTGTTACTCCTTTGTTTCAACATCTATTGCGGACGAGTGAGTGGGCGGGCCATTGAGGTGGTCCATATGGCGGCGTGAAGGTGGAGGGCGCGCGACTCTCTGGAGGATGTAGAGAAAACCAGACAAAGGCTCAGCCAGCAGGCCCTCAGCCTCCAAAGCCTCAATGGAAAAATGGGCTGTCCCCCCGCTGAGACCGGTTGCTTGTACGCTCTTAAAGCACGGTCTGATCTGTGGAAAGTAGCCACTCTTCCATAGTACATCCAGCCATCCATAGACTCACCCCCGGGGGTCATCCGTTCTCTCTTCTAAGTAGTTGAAAAATGTTCAGGAGCTTATTGACGTTGCTGATTTGCTCGTTCATCATCGTTGAACGAACAATTAAAGATTGCTTGGAATGATATTAGTCTGCGAGTCACAGCAAAGTGAGCCTGGTCCTTTGGTTGCGCATTGGTATTTGTGCTCCGTTTTTTTTTCCAACAAAATTGAGGGAGGGCTGAGTCCACCTTTTCTTGATTTGATTACGCTTGACAAAACAATCGTACATCCGGTAGGTATTTCATAATTGTCTCTTTCCTTTTCTTGGCTTAAGTGTGGTTTGAGAAATGGTAGATGGATTATTCATGAACTGTCAAATACTTACTAGCGGAACCCTCTCCACTTTATGGACCATTTTTTAAAACTTACACTGGATGATATTTGGAGCACTTGAGGTTTTCGTTTGCAGTATGGCTGCGTACATGTGTGTATATATCACGGCCAGAAGAAACATGGTAGACCACATAGTTCTTGTAGGTTTTAAATATTAAATGCTTCCGCAGCAAAAATGCGCATTTACCATACTGCTGATGTGTCTAGCGTAGTCACACACTGACATTAACCAAAGTTTAAATCCATACATAAGCAGGAAGCAATTTCAGAGATCTAGGAGGACAATCAGTTGGTCAGTTAATGCATGTTATTGTCACTTTTCTACTTGTCTGGCATGCATATTAGTGCTTCTTTTTTTTTCCGCAGGCTCATGTAAATGGGACTGATTTTGATTATGTGAAACCTTTCCAAAAAGTTGTGTATGCATTCCAACATTTGGTCGTTGCCAGGTAAACACTGCATTAGTGAAGTTTTGAGAAGAGCAGTTGTAACGGTGTTTAAGAGAAAAACTGGATTCAAATTGACGGAGATTAACCTTCGAATAATTTAAAATTTCTCAGGTCATACAAAAAAAAACCCAAACAAACAAACAAAAAACCTCAGGACAGCTGCTGCTTTGATAGCCCGACAGAAAATCAACATGTGTTTTACACTTGGATTCAGAAGCAGTTTCATGGTGCTTCATCTGAAGTACAGCAAGACTGCATGACTGATGCAAAGAACAGCAGATGGACCCCTGGAGTGAGCCACCCCCCCCCCCCCCACCCCCCAACCCAGATTGGCAATAGAACTTGACGTTGAAACTTCTATCAAATCTAAAGATGAAAACTAGAGGGGCACCATGTTATACGCAAATATCGCCAAATACTTATTAAAGCGAATTTCCTGTTTTCACAAAGCAGTGGTGTTTGCTTCAGTAGATTGCCATTTTAAAGGATCCCACTTGGGACTTTTTCCATTTTGGAGTAGGGCGTTTTGTTTTGCTTATTTCCTGATACTTTAAGGCTATAGCTGGCACTTTTGCATTCACCTTCTTTGACCTAATGCATCTTGTGATACACAATAAGTTCATTCAATCATCATTGGGCCATGCTACCCACTCATCAAATGTAATCAAAATGTGTTCAGCCTGAGAGCAGCAATTTCAATCAAAATCTGTTGGCCGTTTTGAAAACTACGCAGATTCATATTCCAGATCCAAATTATGATCACAGCTGTATCTATTCTTGGTTGGGTCATTCTGGTGCTACACAAAACATGTCCAAATCCAGTCACAATTGCTAACAGTAACAACCTATCGAAACTGAGGCAAATCCATGACCTAAGCTGTTCGTGGAAGGAATAAAGTAATCACAGTGAGCAAATATGGTGTTACACAATCAATTTTGCATTGCACTTACCACTTTTAAAGAGATTATCAAACTATTTACACAGAACACTGGCACTGCGACAAGAAGTGAGTGGACAATTCCGGGAAGATGGCTCCACTTGTAGCTTATGTAACATCAAACTATTCCTTCACCCCGAAAGTAAATCTTGCTATGTAGCAAATATTCTGACGTCTTGTTTAGTTAATGAGATATGTCACATATTTTCCACATTTTGCTGAGTTTGTAGAAAATTTCGCCCATTGAACTGTGTGATCCATGACACACACATATTTGTTCGCATGTTATTGAGAGATGTACAGAAACACGTATGTTAATGTGTCGTGATGATATATGATAGTGTACTACTTCTCTTTAGGTGCATCATCTAATGATTGAAGGAAAGAAAAATATCAATCGTTGCCATAAAGGCATTAGATTAGGTACAGATTTACTTGGACAATGAAGGTTTTCTTTCCTTTCCCTTCATATATCATCACAATTTTACATTAAAAATCATGCTGTTATTGAATAGTAGCTTTTCATGTTTTACTTAATATATGGAAAAAAAATAAATTGATGGATGGATTGTTTCAAAGTAGAGCGTGCTTTTGACTCAAAGATAAACAATTAGCGAGTGAAGGTGGCTGCAGAGAAGCAGTGAGTGTTTAAATGTGCATTCTGTCTCTTTTTTTTTTTTTTTTTGAGTTTGCCCCTCTCTCGCGTGTCTGCCGCGTTCTATTGTAGCCTGTGAGATAAGTCAACACACCTCCATTCAACGGTCAGCTGATTCTGCTTCGGTGTTCATCATCCTCAGCACCCCAGTGGGCTCCATGGCTTCTTCCCAGTTTGAAATTGAAAATGTGGGCAACCTCAAACTGTCCAGCCGAAAGATACTTGTAAATCCTGGATTGCAAGTATCATTCTGACAGACATCTTCATACTTTTTTAATTGTACGTTTTCCAATTTAGTGCTTCAATATTTTGGAAGACTAATAAAAGACTTGAGCGGCTTGCATGCACAGATGCTCAAATTACTGTTACATAACTCCACAAGCGTCCGCATGGAAGTAAAAAAAAAAGTTTACTGGGACGGGCTCTACCTCCATTGATTGAAATGAGGATAAGCTCCACATTCCCCGCTGGTCGTGATCAGCAAATATTTTGCCTATTTGTGTGCTTTTTCTGTCGCTTAAACTTAGAGTGGATGTTTTTTTTACTGTGTTTCTTTGTGTTGCTTGGCCAGATCTGGTTGTAAAAAGGTCACCGATCGGTGTATTTTGATGACCTCAAGCTCGCGTTGACTGAGAATATCCCATATGTACGTCTACGCCCGCACTCTCACTGGCCCGTATCCAGCCCATATCGGATTTTTATGCTCAAATTCTGATTCTGATCTGAAGATATCCGATTGCATGTGATTTGTTTCTATTGAGCGATGCGGTGGAAATGCAGCCTTAGATTGACACGAACATGCAGAGAACAACACTGACATTTCAAACCGACATAATCTGTGGCTATGTGATTTGTGTTGTGCGTTTGAGTTTTGGCAGCAACGGACTCCTCACTGTGAAACTAACTCAAAAGCCAAATCTCATTTTTATTTTGAGCCCAGATCTCTCCATTAGGAATAAACTCGACACACACATTTTATTAAGGGAATACACAAGCCCACATGTATACGCTGCAGTGTTTGCTCTGAAGATGAAAGTCAAATGTCTGGAAACAGACCTCACATCTGCAACCTGTTAAACACTAATGATACTGGCAGCAGCAACATACAGGCACGCACGCACACACATGCACACACTTCTCCATCTGAAGTGTACAGCAGGCTGTGTCGAAGAAATTGTTTAGAGATTCCCTCTAACAGAGAATAGCAGTGCTCCTTTACGCATACAGTCTGGGGGTTCTTGTTTGCGTTGCAGCACGGGTGTTTTTTCTTCATCCCTCTTGTCTATTTTTTGAGACAGTTGCTCAATGTAACCGAAAACTTCACCTTCATGTGAATCGGCTCCAGTTACACGCTTAACTTGAAATGAATTTGGCCTAATGAAGACCCCGAGACAAGACAAACTATGACTAAAAACAAGCTTGCGCGTCAAAATGTCTCCTACTTTTTCTCAACATACATGTTGGAAATAAACATGTTGCATTCAAGTTTCAGCCCATAAATAGTTTGGTTTGTATTTAGCAGAATATACATCAGTGTTGATGACGTTTGTCTTGCATTTATGACTCTTGTCATACAATTATTACTTTGTTTTTTTTAGCTTTTTTCCCCTCAATAAATGACGGTTTTCACATCTTCTCCTTTAGTATTTCAAAATTTTCTCTGAAAAATAAGAATTTTATTACATATTTGTTCCATAGAAATTACTTTTTACACTGTGTTGAGGTCAGTCAAGCACTGAGCCTAGATTCGCACAGCACCTCCACCCCGAAACAGACGTGCCGACCATCGCGCCGTTATGAGTCGTGCAGTTTGTCAGTTAGGTGTGGAAAGCTCTTGGTTCTCTTGGTTTGAGCCATACCGGAAACACGAATATCTGATAACAAAATAAAACTAAATAAACAGAAACAATTTCTATGCCTGCAAACCTGTCTGTTGTTGTCACATACGTCTGTCATAAAATTTTGTTTTTAATGTGCTCACCAAAATGGCTACCATTGGTAATTAACGCCGAGTGGCTTGAAATGAAGTTTATTTTGACGTCTTCACCGGAAATACGATTCTCTCTTTTTCTCTCTTGAATAATTTAAAATTTCTCAGGTCATACAAAAAAAAACCCAAACAAACAAACAAAAAACCTCAGGACAGCTGCTATCTATTTCTCTCTCTCTCTCTCTCTCTCTCTCTCTCCCTCTCTCTCTCTTTCTCTCTCTCTCTCTCTCTCTCTCTCTCTCTGGAAGCGAGACTCGAGACTGATGAGCAATTTAACCGCACGTAGCTGCAGCTTGGTCTTCCACAACTCCTCTGGACTTACTCTGAGCAGGACCAAATACCTGTGACATTAAGCCACCATGGACGTGAAGTTACTCGCAGTCGTGGCTGCGCTCACACTGCTGGCACATGTGCCCCTTTCGCAAGGTACGAATACAATTTGGCACTGCTTGGGGTTCATTTATTGCTCAAATGTTTTCTTACGTGCATTTTTTTAAGGTAATACGAAATTTTATAATATTTTCATTCAAATGTCAGTCATGTATCCCTTCAGTGGAATTGTTGTAATTGTGCGCAATGTGATAAGGTTTTCTGGCAAATTACCAAGAAAAGCAGTTGCAATTACAACACAAAATACATTAATGTAACATAGCTTTGCATTTGTTGATTTTAAAACATATTTGGCGTCCTTGAGTGAAGAAAAAAAGTTCAGTATTTATTTATTTTTAACATTTTTTGTCGTGCGTAAATCACCAGGAGGTTCCGCGCGTATGTGTGTGGTTTTTGGCTGTGGAAAGCTCCCTGGCGCTATGCAGATCAACGTGTTTATTTGTTTTTCCACGTTTACGCTTTAATTAGTCCCAAATGAGGCAGCGTTACAGACACGACCTCAGCTAGTCTGCCTGGCGTCATCAGAAAATTGCGCGTTCTTTCACATGCAAATGTGGGATCAGGTGTAAAAAATAATTAGTATGGGGCTTTACACCCACAAGTACCCTCTGCACATCTGTTTTTATCCCTACCGTGTCACTTTTTTGGCCCGTATCAATGACAGAATTCATTAAGTTAAGTTTTTTTCTTAAACACTTCGGTTTGGAAATCATCATTGGGCCATGCTAGCCACTCATCAAATGTAGTAATCAAAATGTGTTCAGCCTGAGAGCAGCATTTTCAATCAAAATCTGTTGGCCGTTTTGAAAACTACGCAGATTCATATTCCAGATCCAAATTATGATCACAGCTGTATCTATTCTTGGTTGGGTCATTCTGGTGCTACACAAAACATGTCCAAATCCAGTCACAATTGCTAACAGTAACAACCTATCGAAACTGAGGCAAATCCATGACCTAAGCTGTTCGTGGAACGAATAAAGTAATCACAGCGAGCAAATATGGTGTTACACAATCAATTTTGCATTGCACTTACCACTTTTAAAGAGATTATCAAACTATTTACACAGAACACTGGCACTGCGACAAGAAGTGAGTGGACAATTCCGGGAAGATGGCTCCACTTGTAGCTTATATAACATCAAACTATCCATTCATCCCGAAAGTAAATCTTGCTATGTAGCAAATATTCTGACGTCTTGTTTAGTTAATGAGATATGTCACATATTTTCCACATTTTGCTGAGTTTGTAGAAAATTTCGCCCATTGAACTGTGTGATCCATGACACACACATATTTGTTTGCATTATTGAGAGATGTACAGAAATACGTTTGTTAAAGTGTCGTGATGACATATGATAGTGTGCTACTTCTCTTTAGGTGCACATGCATCATCTCATGATTGAAGGAAAGAAAAATATCAATCGTTGCCATAAAGGCATTAGATTAGGTACAGATTTACTTGGACAATGAAGGTTTTCTTTCCTTTCCCTTCATATATCATCACAATTTTACATTAAAAATCATGCTGTTATTGAATAGTAGCTTTTCATGTTTTACTTAATATATGGAAAAAAAATAAATTGATGGATGGATTGTTTCAAAGTAGAGCGTGCTTTTGACTCAAAGATAAACAATTAGCGAGTGAAGGTGGCTGCAGAGAAGCAGTGAGTGTTTAAATGTGCATTCTGTCTCTTTTTTTTTTTTTTTTTGAGTTTGCCCCTCTCTCGCGTGTCTGCCGCGTTCTATTGTAGCCTGTGAGATAAGTCAACACACCTCCATTCAACGGTCAGCTGATTCTGCTTCAGTGTTCATCATCCTCAGCACCCCACTGGTCTCCATGGCTTCGTCCCAGTTTGAAATTGAAAATGTGGGCCAACCTCAAACTGTCCAGCCGAAAGATACTTGTAAATCCTGGATTGCAAGTATCATTCTGACAGACATCTTCATACTTTTTTAATTGTACGTTTTCCAATTTAGTGCTTCAATATTTTGGAAGACTAATAAAAGACTTGAGCGGCTTGCATGCACAGATGCTCAAATTACTGTTACATAACTCCACAAGCGTCCGCATGGAAGTAAAAAAAAAGTTTACTTGGACGGACTCTACCTCCATTGATTGAAATGAGGATAAGCTCCACATTCCCCGCTGGTCGTGATCAGCAAATATTTTGCCTATTTGTGTGCTTTTTCTGTCGCTTAAACTTAGAGTGGATGTTTTTTTTACTGTGTTTCTTTGTGTTGCTTGGCCAGATCTGGTTGTAAAAAGGTCACCGATCGGTGTATTTTGATGACCTCGAGCTCGCGTTGACTGAGAATATCCCATATGTACGTCTACGCCCGCACTCTCACTGGCCCGTATCCAGCCCATATCGGATTTTTATGCACAAATTCTGATTCTGATCTGAAGATATCCGATTCCATGTGATTTGTTTCTATTGAGCGATGCGGTGGAAATGCAGCCTTAGATTGACACGAACATGCAGAGAACAACACTGACATTTCAAACCGACATGTCTGTGGCTATGTGATTTGTGTTGTGCGTTCGAGTTTTGGCAGCAACGGACTCCTCACTGTGAAACTAACTCAAAAGCCAAATCTCATTTTTATTTTGAGCCCAGATCTCTCCATTAGGAATAAACTCGACACACACATTTTATTAAGGGAATACACAAGCCCACATGTATACGCTGCAGTGTTTGCTCTGAAGATGAAAGTCAAATGTCTGGAAACAGACCTCACATCTGCAACCTGTTAAACACTAATGATACTGGCAGCAGCAACATACAGGCACGCACGCACACACATGCACACACTTCTCCATCTGAAGTGTACAGCAGGCTGTGTCGAAGAAATTGTTTAGAGATTCCCTCTAACAGAGAATAGCAGTGCTCCTTTACGCATACAGTCTGGGGGTTCTTGTTTGCGTTGCAGCACGGGTGTTTTTTCTTCATCCCTCTTGTCTATTTTTTGAGACAGTTGCTCAATGTAACCGAAAACTTCACCTTCATGTGAATCGGCTCCAGTTACACGCTTAACTTGAAATGAATTTGGCCTAATGAAGACCCCGAGACAAGACAAACTATGACTAAAAACAAGCTTGCGAGTCAAAATGTCTCCTACTTTTTCTCAACATACATGTTGGAAATAAACATGTTGCATTCAAGTTTCAGCCCATAAATAGTTTGGTTTGTATTTAGCAGAATATACATCAGTGTTGATGACGTTTGTCTTGCATTTATGACTCTTGTCATACAATTATTACTTTGTTTTTTTTAGCTTTTTTCCCCTCAATAAATGACGGTTTTCACATCTTCTCCTTTAGTATTTCAAAATTTTCTCTGAAAAATAAGAATTTTATTACATATTTGTTCCATAGAAATTACTTTTTACACTGTGTTGAGGTCAGTCAAGCACTGAGCCTAGATTCGCACAGCACCTCCACCCCGAAACAGACGTGCCGACCATCGCGCCGTTATGAGTCGTGCAGTTTGTCAGTTAGGTGTGGAAAGCTCTTGGTTCTCTTGGTTTGAGCCATACCGGAAACACGAATATCTGATAACAAAATAAAACTAAATAAACAGAAACAATTTCTATGCCTGCAAACCTGTCTGTTGTTGTCACATACGTCTGTCATAAAATTTTGTTTTTAATGTGCTCACCAAAATGGCTACCATTGGTAACCAAATACCTGTGACATTAAGCCACCATGGACGTGAAGTTACTCGCAGTCGTGGCTGCGCTCACACTGCTGGCACATGTGCCCCTTTCGCAAGGTACGAATACAATTTGGCACTGCTTGGGGTTCATTTATTGCTCAAATGTTTTCTTACGTGCATTTTTTTAAGGTAATACGAAATTTTATAATATTTTCATTCAAATGTCAGTCATGTATCCCTTCAGTGGAATTGTTGTAATTGTGCGCAATGTGATAAGGTTTTCTGGCAAATTACCAAGAAAAGCAGTTGCAATTACAACACAAAATACATTAATGTAACATAGCTTTGCATTTGTTGATTTTAAAACATATTTGGCGTCCTTGAGTGAAGAAAAAAAGTTCAGTATTTATTTATTTTTAACATTTTTTGTCGTGCGTAAATCACCAGGAGGTTCCGCGCGTATGTGTGTGGTTTTTGGCTGTGGAAAGCTCCCTGGCGCTATGCAGATCAACGTGTTTATTTGTTTTTCCACGTTTACGCTTTAATTAGTCCCAAATGAGGCAGCGTTACAGACACGACCTCAGCTAGTCTGCCTGGCGTCATCAGAAAATTGCGCGTTCTTTCACATGCAAATGTGGGATCAGGTGTAAAAAATAATTAGTATGGGGCTTTACACCCACAAGTACCCTCTGCACATCTGTTTTTATCCCTACCGTGTCACTTTTTTGGCCCGTATCAATGACAGAATTCATTAAGTTAAGTTTTTTTCTTAAACACTTCGGTTTGGGTTTCCATATTTTTCGTCATGAATCAACAGTGACCAAAGTTTGCACAAACTTGAGGTTTGAATTGTATCAGCATGAACATTCATCATGGAAAAACCGCCGTAAGCTACCTGAAAAAAACTGCTTTCTTTTCATAAAATCGTGTTATGACGTTTGTGTGACTTGATATGAACATCACTTTATGGTCAATATCTTTAAAAGCATTTTATTGTTTCCAAAGATTACATTTTTATAATTCATGTGGATCTAATGAATATGTTCAGCATTTGAATGATAGTCATCATATTGGATTCATGTTGTTTCAAAGGGCATCTGGAATCAGCTCCAGTTTGTGGGGAAGCAAAGATCCGTCTTGTTCATCGTCTACTCCCGCTGTTCACATTTGGCGTTTAGAAACATTCTTGCGAGTCAGCATGGACCAAAATAACTAATACTTGTTGCACATTTGCGTTATCCTCAATGGATATAGAGCACATATGCTCTATATCCACCCCACAGAGAATTTGTGTTATCCAAAGTCCTGCAATATTGATTGCATTATTGGAGCCATGTTTTTTCCGGAAATTGGTTCTCAATGTATTTATTACATTTGTATGTATTTTTATCCTTTTTTCCCATTAAATAACTGTTAAATTGATTTCTTGTTTACAAAGTACAATTAGATTTTTAATTTAACATTTTTAAATTGATTTTTAACCTATTGGTTAAGTAATAATAATTACATTGATTATATCAAGTAAAATTTGAACAACAAAAATGACTTATCTTGAATGAACTTTGAGTTATTGTTGATGAGTGATACTGTACATTTTCCTTACTCGTTGCAGGCAGTTCTCAACCAATGACGGGGTGCGCGTGAAAGTAAATGCTTTTCTGTCTCTGTTTTTACCCTATACCTGACTGGAAACCAATCCTGGGCGTCGTCCACCTTTTGCTTGAAGTGAACTGGAATATAATCCAGGCGAAGTCATATAGAAAATGAATTTATGAATGCAAGGAAAATGAAGCATTTTACATACGCACCATTTTTTTCTACCTCATCGATGCATGGCCTGGCCCATCTGTCTCAAGTGCAAAAGTTTGCTCAGCCCTGATTTAGAGGTTGATGAAACCGTTATTAATCAACTTGTCAACCAGGTAGAATAATACACTCCACTTGTTCTGTGTATAGTTCATCGGTCTAGAGGGACATTCGATTTATTTTCTTTAAATTTAATTCAATTGTGTTTTGGAATGCATGAGAAAACCCAGAAGATGTCCAGTGGGATACGCTGTGGTTATCCACCACCAGTCAGTTGCATTTGGTCTGATATTTAAAGTCGAATTGTATCAATTTCATGGGAAAGCCTTGCTACAATCTTGTGGTCACATTGTGCTCCGCTGTTTAAATCTATTCATTTTATTATGATTTCTGTGGGAATATCTTTCAGCAGATATTCATAATTGTTCCTTTCTGTGCCCTTACAGCCAAGCCTATCAGTCTAGTGGAGAGATGCTACTGCCGTTCAACGGTCAACAGCCTCCCTCGGGGATACATACGAGAGCTCCGCTTCATACATACGCCCAACTGCCCCTTCCAAGTCATGTGAGTGTTTTGTTTATTTATTTATGTGTTTATTTCAAGAGTGATCTATCGGTATTAAGAGGTTTTATACACGGCTCTTTAAAAGTTTGAAATGGGTTCCTCCTTGTCGGACATTTCTCACCATCAATCTTGAGAAGGTGACAGGGCGGAGAAAAGAGTTGGGCATGCATGTGTGTGCACACGCCCCTCTGTCACTCGCGCTCTCACACATGGGCAGCCAGAGCCCACCGAGGCGTGCGGAAGGAAGCGTCAGTCAGTTGGAACGTGGGCGCGCAACTTTTGGTTTTCTAACGTGCTCAAAAATCAAAATCTTTGAAAATATTCAGCGCATTTGATCATGTGTTCTTATGACAGGTAGTGTTGTGCGGATAAACGTCGAGGTTAATGCTAAAATGACATGTGATGGACAAGAGGGAGTCAAAAAGTAGGAAAAAAAAGAAAAAAAAATCCAACCCTGAACACGGACAGAATATCAGGGTCATGACAGGGAGAACAGTAAAACACAAACACCCGGTGAACACACTCACTCAGGAGCTGCTGTTGGCTGCAGCTCATGCCCAGGCGCTCACTAGGATAAGGATTTGCGATTTAATTATGGAAGACGTTCACCGTTTTGTTGGTCTCAAGCTATAGTCCCCACACCCCCAGATAATCGCCTAGGATAATCTTTTTGAGACACTCAAAAATCTTTGATTACGTTGATCGTAAGGGAAGGGAAATGCTCAAGTTGGGCTTGATTGTTGTTTGTACACCACTTCAGTGTGATCAAGTCTTGACCTATTCTGGAAATAACGACAGGGTGATGCTGAATTTAAGAGAATATCCTTTGCATGTGTTCAAACGTTCTGCATTTCGAAAAAGAGTTGAGTATTTACGGTGACGGGTCCTTTTCCAAATAATGCATATGTTTGAAGGGGACTGTCGCGCTAAACTAACACTGTGGCGCTAATTCCCCTTGTTTGATATCAACGCGTGACTCTTTCATCTCACACTGAGGGCCGTGTTCTTTTCTCATAAATAGTGCCAAGCTGAAGACAAACAAGGAGGTGTGTGTGAACCCTGAAATCCGATGGCTGCAACAATACCTGAAAAATGCCATCAACAAGTAAGTTGCCCTCCACTCACACTGTCAGCTTATGTCAAACTTGTCCGTCTGGTTGTGCCTTCCAATTCGCTTTCGTCCACCATAGACATTCAAAGTAAGCAGGGTTGGGATGCAAAAGAAGAAATGCGCATACAAATCTAGCGAATGGACCATTGTGAAGAGTAGCACCTCTTAACGGTCCTGCTTCTTGATGAACATGAAGTCAAAACATGCTCGTGCTTAACAATTGTCACCCACAAACTGAATTTGATCACTTCCAGTCGCTTAATCGTTTGTACAGCTTTCGTTGCCTTGGCGCCTCGGGATAGAGTGACGAGCATAAGCGCGGAGTGTTCATAACAATCGTCAACTGTGAAATGCACACAAGCTCCCATCTTTGTATGTGGCACATGCAGCGGGTGCATCACCGAAAAAAGTAACGTCAACTTCAATCATCTGCGTCTGTGTGTCAGTCACATTAATGGCTGGGAGGGTCGAAGGCTACTTTGCCGTGCTGACAGTTGATGACTTTCTGCGCGCCGACGAACAGATGGACAAGACGGGGTGCAGTCAGACGCTCTGTCTGTTCGTCTCAATAGCTGCTTGAGCAGTTCAAGCTTGTGTGTGTCACCGGCGAGGTGTGACCGCTCGTCAGCATAACAACACCACACACATAGAGAGTAAGGCAGCAATCGTTTGCAATGGATCTGATGTCTCCAATTATGGTCCCACAGGAGACTTTTATAAGCTCTCTTGCAGTGGGGATTCATACATGCACACAATGGATTGTAAATGCTGCACTTAACCCTTTCATCTGATAACATGAAACTGTACACTGTAGTAACCGCTGTGCCTAAAAGGGTTAAACCAGACAATGATTTCCTCGATGCATCACTTTGACTGAGGCTAAGGTTTGGAAAAAGTATGATGCCACTGACCTAATTTTGTGTACAAGCCGTTTGCCGCGTCGGCGTCAAGCAAATTCAGAAGTATAAGCGCAACATGGTAAAAAGTCCATTTTGATGTGACGAGCAGAAATTGTGTTGAAAACTAGGTGCAATGGGCCCAATCTGGTGAAATACAAAATGGAGCAAACTTCATAGTCACTCAGGTTAGCCACCCTGGACAAATAATATGGAAAGTGGGGCTGTTTGGTGGAGAAAGGCCAGTTTTCGCTCAGAAAATAGTGAACGTATTATATCTTTAGGGTGTTTGGGTTTTTCCTGAAGTTAGAAAAAAAAACCTGTTATTGAAAAAAGAACTATAAACCCAGTCACAATTTTATACTCGCGCATTAAACATAAACTGTCTGAGATATTTTTTATTCCATATTAGTGCGAATTATGCATCTTAATCTGCCCAAAGACTTCCACTCACTCAACACTTTGTTCAATACACACATAAATTAAAAAAAAAATCTACGCTTCTTTAATTGAGACTGTGATGTGGAACTGTACAGGATCATACAGGAAGGTATATCTCATAACGGAATGTAGGTAAAAAAAAAATCTACGCTTCTTTAATTGAGACCGTGATGTGGAACTGTACAGCATCATACAGGAAGGTATATCTCATAACGGAATGTAGATAAATAAGATGTCACCATGAATTCATTCATTCATTGCATTATGACAATGATTTTCATCTCTCCTTTCACTTTTGTCTTCCAGGATGAAAAAGTCCAAACAAGGTAACTAATGTTCCTGCTAAGATCCACCTGAGCCATCATTGAGGATATGGAGCATCATCACATACATATATTGTTTACCGGTATATAAATACAGTATTTACTGTACATGTTCTGTCGTCATCATAAATGCGGTTATGAAGCACTTATCAGAGCTGTCCTGCAGCATTCTTTTGCATGGAATCATTGCATCATCATCACCATCACTGATCATTGTCACTGCCGCTTAGGTTATAGATATGTTATTTGTGCAAAGTGCAATTATATCTGTCTTTGTTCTCCTAACTATAATGTACAGTGTATACTTTTTTGTTATCGGACTTCAGCCGTTGTGCTCCAAAACGTAACCATGGGCGGTTTCACCAAAATGTAGTCCATATTTCAGGTGAATTGGCCCCAAGGAATTTGTATTTGTGCCACACAGACTGAGTACATTGTACAGGAGTCTAGTAAAAGTTCCAATGATGATGTTTTTGTGATGGAAGGAAGGACTCGAGCATTTCCTGAGCAACACTCTGTTTGCGATAATGTGACCCCCAACATGGCTGCTTTAGTTTTTAACTCACTGATACTAAGATGACATCTGGGGACCTCATACAGGTTGATTGGGAAAGAAACAGCATTTTTGTTTTAACTATAAACGTGAAAACAATAAATAAATGCAGACCCTCATTTAATATCAATTTCCCCCCAAAATGATAAACTTGATTTGGCTGGATTCTACTAGAAACATGGCAGCGATCTCAACAATTTTTTTACAGCAATTGTAACATAAATCACATTAGTAGTTATGAAAATAGTTGAAGATAACGTCTTATATTCAACTGTCATGCAGATAAAAATGCACTTTATATATCTGAGCAACTTGTTTTTTTTTTTAACACACTCACCAACTCTTTCTTTTTTGTTTCTCAGTCTCTTTTTCTGTGTTTCTATTCCACTATCTGTGTTCGTTTATAACAAATGAATTTTCTCACGTAACTGTTTTTCAAAGATGGGAGATGCCAGCTAGTCGATCTTATCGACATATCATATGTAAGATGAATGTGATATACTGTAAATGTTTTATTTTTGTACTCTTTAATGCATCTAAATGAAGGGAACTGTACTTTCGCGATTGAACCGTCCGGTCAACATTTAATTGTCAAAATTGTATGCAGTTATTAAAAAAAACTAAATAAATACATGAAAAAAAACAACCTACATGGATTGCTTGAATTTTTTTCAGAGTAAATCCAGATGACCATGTGGGCCATCATCCAGTTAAACATGACAGCTGTAAATGCAACTTAAGAGTGTACTGGACTAAAAGATCACCGAGGGCGATGTAAAGCCTTTCATATTGAAAATGTGTTTAGCTTGAAGTCACAGGACAATAAGCCTGCTTGTTCGCAGCGAATTAACTAAACAAGCAGCCATTAGGAACACATTAGAGCTAAGAGGGATGAACTTTTAACTTCCCTTTGGTGGTATTATGTGAGGCGGAGCACGGCGGTTCACATATGTGGTGTGAGTGGTCCACTAATTGAAACATCAAGAAAAGGGGGACGGGTTACTCAGACGTGGCTGCCTGTGAACCGTTTTGCTAGTTTACAGGTGAACTTTGATGGGCACAAGAAGACACGGCAGACTTGCTGTTGTAAGATATACGCTGAATTCAGTCACTGCGTAAACTGATTTCAAATTGTGTTGAATTGTTTGTAGGGAATCCAGCAGGTGCACTTTGCAAACCAGTTGCTATATTCCACTTTAATTCAAAGAGAAGCTTTTCACACGAGAGGCATCTTTTTATTTTCAAACTAATTTCATTCTACTTTTGACAATAGTATCCCTTAAGTCTTTCATGATGGTGGTTGATGTCATGGTGCCAAGTTCGAGTCGCTGGTGCCAATTGAGGCAGCTAGTAGACATCTGAATAAAGAATAAAAATCAACTGAGCTCTCATGATATACACAGTAGGAGCTCTGGTACGATGTCACACATGACAGCAGTTCAAACGTATGTTTATAAGGTATATTTTCCACCAAAATGTTTGGTCAAATTTTAAATTGTACAACCTCGGGTGTTCAATTTGAAAGGTTCCGTGTTCTTGTTTTCTCAACCGAACGATTTGGCTGCGATAGCATTGCAATATATACACACCATATTTTGGCATCATAACTCAAATACTTTCCTCAATGTTGATTTGTCTTTGCACCAAAAAAAAAAAAAAAATCATGCCTTTTCTTATCGTTCTTGCCCCCAGACAGACAAACAAACCCCCTCTAATGCAAACCAGTTGTAAGAGATCTTAAATGCGGTTATGAAGCACTTATCAGAGCTGTCCTGCAGCATTCTTTTGCATGGAATCATTGCATCATCATCACCATCACTGATCATTGTCGTCGCCGCTTAGGTTATAGATATGTTATTTGTGCAAAGTGCAATTATATCTGTCTTTGTTCTCCTAACTATAATGTACAGTGTATACTTTTTTGTTATCGGACTTCAGCCGTTGTGCTCCAAAACGTAACCATGGGCGGTTTCACCAAAATGTACTCCATATTTCAGGTGAATTGGCACCAAGCAATTTGTATTTGTGCCACATAGACTGAGTACATTGTACAGGAGTCTAGTAAAAGTTCCAATGATGATGTTTTTGTGATGGAAGGAAGGACTCGAGCATTTCCTGAGCAACACTCTGTTTGCGATAATGTGACCCCCAACATGGCTGCTTTAGTTTTTAACTCACTGATACTAAGATGACATCTGGGGCCCTCATACAGGTTGATTGGGAAAGAAACAGCATGGTTGTTTAAACTATAAATGTGAAAACAATAAATAAATGCAGACCCTCATTTAATATCAATTTCCCCCCAAAATGATAAACTTGATTTGGCTGGATTCTACTAGAAACATGGCAGCGATCTCAACAATTTTTTTACAGCAATTGTAACATAAATCACATTAGTAGTTATGAAAATAGTTGAAGATAACGTCTTATATTCAACTGTCATGCAGATAAAAATGCACTTTATATATCTGAGCAACTTGTTTTTTTTTTTAACACACTCACCAACTCTTTCTTTTTTGTTTCTCAGTCTCTTTTTCTCTGTTTCTATTCCACTATCTGTGTTCGTTTATAACAAATGAATTTTCTCACGTAACTGTTTTTCAAAGATGGGAGATGCCAGCTAGTCGATCTTATCGACATATCATATGTAAGATGAATGTGATATACTGTAAATGTTTTATTTTTGTACTCTTTAATGCATCTAAATGAAGGGAACTGTACTTTCGCGATTGAACCGTCCGGTCAACATTTAATTGTCAAAATTGTATGCAGTTATTAAAAAAAACTAAATAAATACATGAAGAAAAAAAACAACCTACATGGATTGCTTGAATTTTTTTCAGAGTAAATCCAGATGACCATGTGGGCCATCATCCAGTTAAACATGACAGCTGTAAATGCAACTTAAGAGTGTACTGGACTAAAAGATCACCGAGGGCGATGTAAAGCCTTTCATATTGAAAATGTGTTTAGCTTGAAGTCACAGGACAATAAGCCTGCTTGTTCGCAGCGAATTAACTAAACAAGCAGCCATTAGGAACACATTAGAGCTAAGAGGGATGAACTTTTAACTTCCCTTTGGTGGTATTATGTGAGGCGGAGCACGGCGGTTCACATATGTGGTGTGAGTGGTCCACTAATTGAAACATCAAGAAAAGGGGGACGGGTTACTCAGACGTGGCTGCCTGTGAACCGTTTTGCTAGTTTACAGGTGAACTTTGATGGGCACAAGAAGACACGGCAGACTTGCTGTTGTAAGATATACGCTGAATTCAGTCACTGCGTAAACTGATTTCAAATTGTGTTGAATTGTTTGTGGGGAATCCAGCAGGTGCACTTTGCAAACCAGTTGCTATTTTCCACTGTAATTCAAAGAGAAGCTTTTCACACGAGAGGCGTCTTTTTATTTTCAAACTAATTTCATTCTACTTTTGACAATAGTATCCCTTAAGTCTTTCATGATGGTGGTTGATGTCATGGTGCCAAGTTCGAGTCGCTGGTGCCAATTGAGGCAGCTAGTAGACATCTGAATAAAGAATAAAAATCAACTGAGCTCTCATGATATACACAGTAGGAGCTCTGGTACGATGTCACACATGACAGCAGTTCAAACGTATGTTTATAAGGTATATTTTCCACCAAAATGTTTGGTCAAATTTTAAATTGTACAACCTCGGGTGTTCAATTTGAAAGGTTCCGTGTTCTTGTTTTCTCAACCGAACGATTTGGCTGCGATAGCATTGCAATATATACACACCATATTTTGGCATCATAACTCAAATACTTTCCTCAATGTTGATTTGTCTTTGCACCAAAAAAAAAAAAAAATCATGCCTTTTCTTATCGTTCTTGCCCCCAGACAGACAAACAAACCCCCTCTAATGCAAAACAGTTGTAAGAGATCTTAACTCACCATATTCTTGGAATCACTGCCAACACCCACAGCTTAAACTATGCAGGTGATTTTAGACTAAGCGTAAAACAGATTCAAAGTGTCAACTCAATAATTTGTAGGCACATTTTGCAGGTCATGAAAAAAAAGAACTTCAGCTAACATCAGATAACACTTTTAGGACAAAAAGTATTGCACAAGTGACTCGACGTTTGATATCAACAGCCAAAAGTTATTGACAGGTAAAACAGATGCAGTCGGAATGCTAACTTTTCTCACATTTTGTATCATCTATGTTTTCAGGGACAATAGGTGACGCTCATGTTGCCAGAAAAATACACTTTAATAACCAGGTATTATGGTTGTCCTTGATTTTTTTTGTATGGTTCTCAACAGGGCAGATTGACAAATCTCACTCCCTTCACCGGGAAGGAAAGATTGAACCCCCTCGGCTCAACAATTAGTTTAAAGAACAAGGTCAGCTACTGCAGGGCAGGAGCTCGGCTGCCATGTGGGATTGATACAGCCCTTTTCCGGGCGTTGCCACTTCCTTCATCGTTTGGCACCCAAAGAATGTGAACAATGAAAAAAAACAAAGACAAATGCAAAAATAATGTGACCTCAAGTCTTAACATAGATTGAATATCAGCTCAGCTGTTCAAAGGCGAGTCTCTGAATCCATCAACGAGCCAGGATGTTAACGCACAGCGAAGCTGTTAGGATATGTATCAGGAGAGAATTTTTGTTTTTTAAATCTCCGGCAGTTGACTGGGGACAAACCCAAAGCCAGCTGGGCTAAGATCCAGGCCTCCTGTGACCCTAATGAGGACAAGTGCTATGGAAAATAGATGGATGGATTTAATCCAATTTCCTCTCAGGGCACACACAGATAATGGCCCGCTTTCCTTGTTCAGCACAAGCAAAATTCATTTAATTCTCACTCAATCGATTTTGCATACTAAAACTATTGTCAAGCCTATGTGTGCATGTCTTTGAGTATGTGTACCAGCAGTGTCTGCTCTGTCTCAACCAGAACTGCCCTCCCCCTATTTTCCCTTTCTGCAACTGTGGTTATTTACTCCCATTCCCCCCACACCACCTTCCCTTATCGAAAACCATGCTGCAGC